CAGACTAATGACTTCATCTGGGTTTCCCTCAGCACTCTGCTATTCTGAGCTCTCTGGGCTCCGGAGTTATTCTTCCTCTCCTCCCCTTTTCCTCCCGGCCTCCCCCTCATGACCCGACGGGGCTGTCACGCTCATGTTTCGCCACTCACTCATGTTGAGGTGTCACAGAGCGCATCGGCCGCATACGCCGCATGTCTCGCGCTCAGTGTCGGATGGGAAAAACAGGCCGACGTGATGTATCGCTTTGGCGCTCAAATGCAAGCGACGCAAAATATTTCTCCGGGGGTCAAGGTTCAAGTGAAATGGAAACCTGTGTGGGAGCGTAAATAGTTTTTAGGATTTCAGATCATTTCATCCCAAATCATATTAAAAGAGTCCAAATTCTTTAAAGATATGTTTAAATTTCATAAATAAGAGACTTCAAAGTAGTTTTGAAATGGCCTCAGTGACTCTGAGTGGCACCGTGCCGGAGTGTGGCTGCGTTATTGAAGCACTGCATTAATCAGTTTAGGTCTGCAGCCTCTGAAACTGTTTTCCACGTCATCAGCCTCGAGTTCAGGGTTTTATCTCTCGATGGCATCACAGATAGCAGATTCTTCATGCATCACGAGTGAGTTATTCACAATATACGCTGATGCAAACTCGTTTAAAAGTTCTACACTGTGTGGAAATGTGAAAATGCAGTAATGTTTGCTGCATATTTAGAATGTGAGACATCACATCTTATGGAGAAGGAGCGGTGGCCCTTTTGGTTGTTAATCAGACCACAAAGAGCTTAATTGTTTAGTTGTTTGATCTCTAAAATGTCAGAAAATTGAGAAAATTATCAATCAGTGTTTCCCAAAGCCAAAAATGGCATCTTCAAATCTCTTGTTTCATCCACAACCCAAACAGAGTTTACTGTCATATAGGAGGAAAGAAACAAGAAACAAAACGCTATTTTAAGAAGCCAGAAACATCATTTAAACCAATTGATCGACTACCAAAATAGTTAGAAGTCAATTCAGTAGCTGACAACTAATCAATTAATCGTGCAGCTCGGTTCATGACAAAGCTGAGTTATGCCAAGAGTAATGGTTAAGTGACCAATATTCAGAAAAAGTAAACATAAAAAAAAATGTAGACTGAATTGTTTTAATCATTAAATCAGGCAAAAGTGAGCAAGATTCAATTGTTTCAGCTTTAAATATAACCATTTGTTGTTTTCTTCAGTTTTAGATCATTGTGTATTGATATCATATGACCAAGTTTTTGACTGTTGGTCTGACAAAAGCATTTGGAGGCAAACAAATATTATTTGAAGTGCATTTAAAGTAACTTCACACTCATCTAATTGGATATTTCTCCAAAACTGTACCTACCTTGTGTTAATTTTTTTGATGTTGACAAGAAGCAGGGTGAAAAGAGATGATGTGTGTCCCACAGCTAATTAAAGAGATGTTGTAGTTATTATATATGAAATACACCAGGATGCTACAGTCACGCATTCATGAAAACACTGATCCAGCCCCAGTGTTTTATATAACGCAAAAAGTTAGTTTTATCACTAAGCTCGTCTTGTTTTTCCTCTCAGCCTTCTCTACAACTTCGGGATATTTGTCGAATGGAAACACCCCCTTCTCGCGGGAGTCCGTCTCCCCCTTTCTTCATCTCCCGCAGACACTAAAGCCTGGTAGTACAGTTGTTTCACCCGGCTCTCGTCAGGTTTCCCTCCACTGTGGGGTTTGTAGTTCGGGCTCAGTTCCAACAACACGGCTCACCTCGACCCTGCATTACCTGTGAAACACGACTCTTTTGAAGTGTGTCAAGCATATCATGGCCCAAAACTGCAAACACATCTTTTTTTTTTCTTCTTTTTTCTCTTCCCTCCACCCCGCTACGCTACCACAGAATCACATTTTCACATTGCGGTCTCCTGTGAATATTTTTGTAATTTAAGCTGAAACACAGGGGCTGAAACTGTAGAATATAACGTGAACCTTCTGGGTTTTTTTTTCCTTTCTTTCTCTGTTGGAACCCTCTTTCTTTTGCCTCCTAATAAAGAGAGCCTCATGCTTTGTAATCCATGCAAACGCTGCCAATTCACGCTCCGTAAATCATATTGATCTGAAACGGCCTGTATTTGATGTGGCTGCTGTGACTCCAATAAAAAGACAGAAAAATTTGTTCAGTTTGCCAAGAATTTCAACAGTGATTCAGCTGATCATCAAAAACACTCCTCCCTATTTAACTTTATTGGGCAGGTGTCTGAAGATGTTTTTCTTTGATTTGCACGACAACCTTTACATGCTGTTTTTTTTACAGATGATAGAACCTGAATCACCTTTTTTTAATCATTTACTTGACCTCTTTTTTTTGTAGATCTTCTCCAACTCACTGAAGAGCTTTTATCTCCATCTAGCGACTGCTGAAAGTCACCTTGTTCTTTACACGGTGAAATAAATTTGAGGCTTTTCTGCTGAGCCTGCTTGGTGAAGTGCATGTTTAGCCCTCTTGAAAGCCATCTTTTCATTAGGTTTGTGGTGATTCAGTGCCAAAGTGGACCCTGTGCAACCAGTATTAATCTCTAATTTATGTGTTGACAAATCGCAGTCGAAAAGGCCACTTCTGAGAAGTTAGCGTGAATGTTTTTGCATCTGTAATGTCATTAGTGTGCTCCCTGGGTTATTTTTGCTGAGTCCATGGTTATAGTGTTTCCAGCTACACTCTCCGTCCCCTCTCTTTCCTTACTTGGCGCCCCTCATTCTGAACGGAAAAAGCTCTGCAGCTCAGTTTCTGAAGAATGGTTGTTTGGGGGGTTTTTAAGAGATTGTCCAGTCTTTAAAAAAAAAAAAAATACACACAAGCCTGTTGTATTCGAATCAATCCCAGTTGTTTATTCTTCTTAAATACAAATGAACCGATCACACATGTACACGGCATCTTACCCAAATGTCCTCTCAGTGCTCCGTCCAGCTCCAATCTGTGACGAAATAGAATCAGTTGAGCAACACTAAAAGCTGAGATTAATCACATGTTGTTGTTTTCTTTATTGCTCGCCGTCTCTGCTAACTTTCAGAGCTTTTCTGCCATTATTTGCTTTCTGACCTTGCAATTTTTGGAGGCGCATACAGTTAAGGCCGAAATTATTCATACCCACGCCAAATTTTTTGGGACAAATGGCTGAAAGTGAAAAAAGACAGTCATTATGTTGGAGATGCTAATGATAAACTTGAACTTTTTAATACATTTATTGAACTGTTTTTCTTATAAGTCTATGGTCAAAATCAATTCTGATTGAAAACTGTCAGAATTTTTTGAGAAAATGCAGCTTTGACACGAAATCCCATTGAAAATAAAGACCAGATTCTTTTGGAACCAGTTTTGCACATGACATCTTTACAAAAAATGTAAAAAATATATTTTAAAAAAGTCAAAAGGAATAAAAAAAACGCAAAACACAATGTCTTTATCACTTGTTTATCTCTTTTCCAGCCTGAAGGAACTTTGCAGTCAAAAAAAAACAATGATAAATCAACATTTGCTGCGGTTATAAATAAGTTGGACTGTTATCTAACTTACTGTACATAAGGACCCAGTAGGCCCAGTCTCATCACGAATACTCATTTGTTTTAAATCAGCAGCTTTCCGTGCCAAATAGCAGAGGCAGAATGGAAAAAAAAAATAGATCACATTCGACCCAAATTGTGGTAATGTGTAATCTGCTTTCCTGGATGGAGTCAAAGTTAAGTTACTTTAGCATCAAAAATGTAAACAAGAGGAGAGCTTCTTGCAGTGGCCTCCAGAGCTCATTATTTAATGTGTTAATTCTCATTTCTGTAATCTGCACAAACACCAAAGTAGGAGTGACTGTGTGGTTGTTATTTGCGGACTATTTCTTTGCCAAGGAATGGTGATTTCCTGGAGCCGCCGGTCTCTGCTGAGACTGTCACTGTGACGACGATGGTCCACAAAGTCGCTGCTCCTGGCCAAGAAATACTCCAGCACTTAACTGCACGCATGCAGCACAACTTGTTTATGCTTTGGTTTTATATAGATTAAACAAACAAGAAGAAGGATTCGTTAACCTTTGGACAGGGATAGCGTTTCCTCCTTTCTTCCAGTTTTTATGCAAAGTTAGCTGTCTCCTCTCAGTTTGTATTAAATGGACTGAAAGAGGATTCAGCATATTTTCCATAACATCGAACTGTTCCTTTAATGTGAAACTGGCAAGTCTAAGATGAATGATAATGCATCTTATTGACAGCACTTGGAACTTAAGCAACAGTTTATGGTTCATAATCAAAAAGCGAAAAAGTCCATTGATGAAATCTAATTAAGAAATTCTCGAGACAGAAGATTGAATCAACCCCGTTTCTCTTTTTGTGGAAAGAGCACAACCATGGCTAGAAGCGGAGAGAACTCAATGAACTTCATACACTGTAACGAATACCATTAATCATAAAAGGAGAAAAATCGAATGTTAAACTTCTTGATGATTTTTTTAACAAAACTAAAATGATCAGCTGCTGTTAGCAATATAAGAAAAAACCAAAACAAAGGTGGCTGTGTACTGGAGTTATTTTACTATTTGTATTTTTAATTTGTTTCCTTACTTGTCTCCTCCCTGCTCTGTGTTGACACATCCTGCAGTTCAGCCCAGTTCTGCCAAAAAGTCGCAGAATTTTTGTCACAGGATTGTTGGTTGCATCCCTAATGGCTTCATGCTTCATGGTTGCAATGAGGAGGGGAGAATTTTTTGTTTTTTACAGAATCTGGCTTGAGTGAGCATTTTATTTATTTATTTTTTAAAGTAAGACCGTAGAGTGAAAGTCATTTTGATGAAATATTGCAGTTCTTACGGTCAGATTAGGTTAAATTTCCGCAACGATTCTCTCTGTTTTTACAGTTTCTGCTCTGATAAATGGGGTCATTTTTTTAGCCTGTTGGTTAGCACATTCACAGCTGTAAAAAGAAAAAAAGAAAGAAAAGGCCCTAATATTTATTCTCTCCTTCCCCAGAGGAGTGACAGCGTCTGTGCCAGGCCCACTGGGAGAGGACCATGGCCCTGAGCGATGCGAGCGGCGACCCTCTGGCCCTCAGCAAAGGAGGCCACCATCCTCTCAGTGCCAATGGAAACACGCCTTCAAACACCAGTACACCTGTCGGCGGCGGCCAGGACCCCCTTACCGCCGCCTCCAGCAGCGACTGCCTCTCAGCAGACGGAGATGAAGACGCTGCGGTTAAGAACGGAGCGTCCAAAACGCAGCAGAGATCACACGTCATCCAGAGAGCGAACAGGCCGAGCCAGAACGGCAGCGTGGTCAAACAGAACGGCTCCCTGAGGAATCTTCACCCGTCGTCCGCCGCCACGTCCTCCTCCTCCTCCTCCTCTTCCTCTTCATCCTCCTCTGCTGCCGTCACAGACTCTCAGAGGCTGGCCAGACGCCACCTCCCCTCCACGCTGTCCTCCTCCTCGCCTCCCCTCCAGCCGCCGCCGCCGCTCTGCTGCCAGCACTGTCACTTCCACTCCACCCTGTGCTGCCCCTGTGGACAGCAGGAGTGCCCCCTCTTCCAGAACCCCGCCACAGGACCAGGGCCCGGCTCTGTTCCCCACCCGGGGGCCGCTTCGTCCTGCCCCTGCTGCCTCTCCGCCTGCACATACCCCCACCCTCCTCACCCATCCTCCCCCCTCGCTCTCCATCACCACCATCACCAGCGCTGGCAGGAGCACCTCCAGAGTCAGACGCATGCAGCCGGGATCAGGTACGTTTTTAAATTTTTTTTAATTTTTACCTTAACAGACTTTATCTCAGATTATTCAACTAAACTGATTGAGGCACCATCATCGTGTGGTGGCTTTTTTTTAGCTCCTGCTCCAGAGAGTGTTTTCTGCACCGCGCATACAAATTGTTGTCGCTCAAGTGTGTTATTATGTTTGACTGTGTGTTTATTTACCTCAAACACACCCACAATTTGCCCAACAGAGGGTCTCTAATAGTCTCCAGTAACCGCCTCCTTGTGCCGCGGTGCTTAATAACATGTCACATCCAGGGGTCGTGTTTGTCTGGAATGCAGTTGGAGGCGTTTCCTGCTGTTGGGGACCAGTGTTTTGGAGCAATGCAGGGGGTAATTTTACCAAGAGTTTTTCCCAAATAGAAGCCCATTACACAATGTCACCGCCAATATGTTACAGAGAACAAAGAGCCATATTAAAAGAATGAAAGCAAGTAAAAATTTTTCATTGTCTTTGACTGATGTAACTCCATAATGAGCGCTTTGTGCCTCGAGTCAAGTGTTTTTCCCGTCCAAAAATGTTTTATGTTTAAAGCAACAACATTTAGTTTTGTTGTGGAATAGATAGAATTGTGGAAATTTCATAGTTTAGGCAAAAGTGTTGGTAGTACCCACAATAGGCATAGGTGTTGGACATGCATGTGATCAGTGGATTAATTTGCATGTTTCCAGCATCATAGAGTGAAATACAGTTGTACCATATGTTACTGCTACTTTCTAACATAACTAGCAGGGCACTTGGAGAGCACAGTCCTCCATTAAGGCCAGTGTAGTGTTTCGCAACTTTAAAAGAAAGGGATTTTTAACCACACCAAATTGAATTGGTCATGCTTCGTGTCTCCACCAAGGTTCATAATAGTTTTTTGCGTAAGCTTGTTTACAGACAAAGAAACACCACTGAAAACATGCCTCGGTGAGGGATAATTCCCTGAACCTCAATGCAGTCACAAGATACAAAGCAGTTGTGTATTCACATGAAGAGGGCATGTTAAAAGCAGCTGTTAGTCACGGTGCTATTTGTCTCCATTTTTTCTTATTCCTTTTTCCCCCTAAATCTGAAAAATGATCCGATCCGTGACGCAAAATTTTAGTTCTGTGATCCTTTTCAACCTTGAATACTGGTTCCCATGCGATGCTTGTGTTTCTAATATTTTTTAGGATTTCTCACAAACATTTTTAACTTCAAAACATCTCAAATACGTCACTGTTTAATTTTGCTGGAACATACCACAAAGTCATCGATTGAGCCCCTATAAACTCATCTGTGTGTCAAAGGTACATGTTTAGAAAGGTTTTGCATTAAAACAATCCAGTATTACCTTAAAATGACCAATGAACCAGGCACTGATTCTGAAGAAGACGAAGAATGATACAGAAAGCTTCACCCTGCAAGTTGACAGGATTTTGTCACTGGGTTTTATATGTATGAAACTCTGGAAGTCAGAATCTTTGTTTTTCAGACCATCATTGGTACGCTGCAGTTCCAAGATGGAACTGCTCAGTCACGGTGTTAACTGTTCATTCCCCATGATGTGTCTACTAGTGTATAAAAAACACTGTGTAGACATGTTAACATGATAGAAAACTTGATTTTTAGTGGAAACTGATTAAAAACAAGCAGACCTAACCAAGTAGACAAAAAATTAGTTTCAGCATTTGGCACTGTTGAAAAAGTTCCATACCAAGCCTTAGCCTAAAATCAATATGACAAATAACTTGACCATAGAAATGACGGACTACAACTTTAGCACAACTTCTGCTTTATTGACGCCTTGTAAAAATGACAAGATTTTTTCTTCTAACAGTTTGTGACAGGTCAGCCCAGTAATTTTGCTCACTGTTTGTCCACTTCAACATATAAAAGAATATGACTCTCTAAGCCATCTTTTTGACCCTTCATAGCCTTTGATACATGGTGAGATTTTCTCCTTGAACACAGCTCCTGTCAGCTCCTACATGTAGAAGTTAGCTGCAGATCGGTGACACACAGTAGGCGAGGTTTTAGCCCGTCGTTGACATCTTCGGCATGTGCATGCCTGCGTCTAAAAGCTGGTTCAGATGGTAATTGCTGTGCTTATTCAAGCGTACTCGGTCGTATTTTGAAAAGTTTTTCATCAGCTCGCGTTTGCCAGACCCTCCAGACTGTTGGGATACAAACTGCCAAAGCAAAGATGAGACGGGAATTTAGCAAGATTTTCTTAATTAAATGGAACCTGCATGCGAGCACACACACATGCAAGCGTATGTGCACACGTGGTGGCCATGCCTTCCCCAGCTGAAGCAGAACTTCAGCTCATTTGTTGGCAGACCTTTCCTCAACTGATCCATATTTAGTGAGTTGGTTCTTTCCCTTTTGCTCCCAAACCGCAGGCTTTTCACCGCATTTGAAACTGGAACCATTTAATGCCTTGCATAATCATTTGCATAATCCTATATTTACCATCTCCGCAGAGAAGGGGAGGCGGCAGGAGGTGCATTTTTTTTTTTCTTCTTTTTTCGCAGAAGTAATTATTTACTCATGTCAGCTCCTTTTTATGGTAGCACATCGTCGCGGGTGAATCTGATTTGCATGAGACTTTATTTCTTCTTGCTTCTCAAACATGGAATTTTCCTCACTCGAGTAAAGTTTGGCTGCCTCCTCATAAGTTTCATTAGGGGCGTTGTGGGTGGCGTTGAAAGATGAGGTTTGTGCAGCCGCAGCGGGTACGTACACCAAAACTCGGTGTGCACACATTAAACCCTGGGTGGGCAGAAGGGAAGCAAAATAGGATTGTGTTGCTGGCATTTAGACGCATCCACCAGCCCCCTCTGCGGTTTTTCTTCCTCCCCTCCTCGCTTGCTGGTACTTTCATTTTTCTTTTTTTTTTTCTTTCTCAGTTTTTCTCTCACTCTATTAACACTCTCATTCTGTCTTCGTTCCCCCCCTCTCTTCGTCGTCCCTCCCGCCTCCGTCGTCTCTCTTTCCACATCAGAATGGAGAGCAGATGTGGCGTGGGACGTCTCTAATGTTGAACCACTCTCTTATTTACCAAACAGGTCCCTCTTGTTCGGCGATGACAGGTTTGAATTACAGGGCTTGAGTTGGTTCCAAAACTGCATCCCCGACTCCCCACCTCCTTTCCTGTACAGTGGTGTTTTGTGTGTGTGTGTGTGTGTCTCAGATGGGGAGATTAGATGTAGGAAATCATATACCTGTCTCGATTGTGTAGTTTTGCCCTAAAAAAAAAAAGCAACCCAAAACCCTCAGACCTTGTCTCCTTTTTCGCCCGTCCAGTTTTGCTGAGGGCTGCTGGAGTTCAGCGGCAGTTAAAGATCCACACACACACACATTCACATTTGCCCGTAAACCCAATACACTGCATATTCCTAATACCCTCGATAATTTGAGGGTATGAAGTCAGACAAGATGGTGTCGAATATCAGTTTGATCTGCCTCGGGGCTGTGATCTGCCAGATTAGCTGAGGGATTACATCTGTGATCACAGCACACTCGCGTCTCGCTCACACTCTCTCACACACTGATAAGTCGTAACATTAGCTCTTCGGGGAGACCTTTTTATGTGCGTTTCACAACAGGGGATTTTTATGCCCCTGTTCTCGGCTTCACAAAACATTAATCCATTTACCGAGATTAGCCCGGCGCTTTGTTTCCTAATGTTTCTATTTTGAGAAACGATCAAAAGCCGCCGGGGTCTTTATCCACGTATGAAATCTTTGGAAAGGTCGAAGCACAACTCAGCAGTTTTGTAAAACGCTGCAAAAAAATATAGAAAAAGTACAGAATCATCCATCCGTTGTGTAATTTTTTTTCTTCTCTCTCTCTGGTCTGTTAGACTCATTAGGAACAAGTTTGCGTCTGCGATGTAAGATTATCTATCACAGCCATTTTATATGTGTTTAAAGTTGGTCGGAAACGGAGCGTCCTTGGGATGTCTGCTGCTGTTTGGCCTCCGTCAGTTCAGCGCCAGCCGGTTTAAAGGAAACTGGTTGAACCCCAGTTTGCCTCTGATTGTAGCTTATTAGCTTGTAAGCTGTTTGTTTCGACACTGAGGTAGAGCAGGTAGTCGTTAAAGAAAGCCCACATCGTTACCCATTGAGTTTTTTCCCTTTCCTTTAGTTTGCTTCATTTATAGCACGTAAATAAGGCTGCAACTAATGGTTATTTTCATTGTTGATTAATCCTTTGACTATTTTGTCAATTAATTTTTTTGGCCTGTGAAATGTCAGAAAATGTTGAGAAAGGTCACTCAGCGGTTCCCAAAGCACAAAATGACGTCTTAAAATTAGTTTTTGTTCCCAACCCAAAGATATTCAGTTTACTGTCACAGGAAAGCAGAGAAAAATAGAGAGTTTCAACGTTTTTTTCCTTCAAATAAAGTCCTCAAATTGATGATCAGAATAGTTCATAACTAATGTAATAATTGACAACTAATAGAAGAATAAAGTAATTGTCGCAGCTCTTTGTTTAAAAAATCTACAAAATGAGGAAGCCCACACCAAAGATTGGTAAATTCAGGCGTTTCTTCTGTTACTTATCTTCCAGCTTGGTTCGCCTTAAAACAAAGAAAGAGTAGCTTCCTCGCCATCCGCCATTATCCGTCGATTCTACTCGCGTTACGGTATTAAATCAAAGTTACCCCACTTCTGTCGAGTTAGTTGAAATTTCACTTCATAAACATCATGAAAGGATATATATAGCTGTTAAGGATCTGTTTTAGTTGGGGGCCACAGGCACTCATGGTAAAGGTCCCCCTAGAAAGCCATTACCTCTGGAGAAGTGACCTGTAGGAAATATCAAGCGCAGGTTTCTGGTGGAAGTAGCGCCACAGAGCAGCCATCAAGACAACTACACCTAATAAAGCAAAAAACTGAGCTCATCTACAAAGCACCTGTTGAATGTACGCATGTTCTGGCAGCGAACGGTTTGTTCTGCCGGGTTTAGAAGAGGCCACTTCTCCATCTGTGGTCAT